GTTTTGGAGCGATGCAAAGCGGGACTTTGTGGTGAGGATTAAAAGCACCCTAACTTTCCGAGGACGAAGCACCAACCTCAAGTCGGCCACGTGGAAGGTTGGTAATAAATTTGAACATTAAAAAACATTTTTTGCACTAGTATGTCTAATTTCTTTTTTTTCTTCTGTCTTTGTATTTTGCTAAAATCATATTTTCGTTATTTCATTTGCACATTTACATTTTTCACAGCCTTATTAATTTATTTTTTTTACAATTCTACTAATTTTTTAAATGATTTTTCTTCATGAGCATTTTTTGCAATTCTTTTCTTTTGTCCATTTTGTGCACGTGATGTGTCCATGTTGCTTTGCGATGGCACTGTAGGTGCTGCAGTGCCAAGGCCGAGCGAGGGCCTGCGCCGGCCCCTCCCCGTCCTCCTGCCTGCTGCTCACCTGTCGACCTCTGCCCTTGTCTCACACGCTCCTCTGCGCTCGCACCTTCGGCAGCCAGCACAACATGGACATGAGGTTCACGCAGTGCGACCACAGGTGAGCCCAAACACTCTCGCCAAGGTCACATCACACATTTTCCAACAAGTGTTGGCGAGATTTTGTGATGGTCCGATGAAACCAAGGTTGAATTTTTCAAAGTGGAGGGAATTCTGAACAGTTCATCATAGCAGGCAATGTGGATCTGGGGCCTGAGACCAAGTGGACGGAATTATGAGCAGGGGTGTGTGCACGCGTGTGTGTGTGGGTGTGGGTGTGTGAAGAGTGTCGTCAATTTTAGGGTACACCCCCCGCGAGCTGGTGGGCCGCTCCATATACGAGCTTTGTCACACGCTGGACACAATCTGTTTGACCAAATATCACATCAACTGTGAGTAGAGAAGGTGAAGCAGCATGTGACTCATCCAAGGCTTTTTAAAAAAAAAATTTAAACTGTTGTTGGTGTTTTCCAGTGTACTCCAAAAGCCAGTCGGTCAGCGGTCACTACAGGATGCTTGTGAGGGGCGGCGGGTACGTGTGGGTGGAGAGCCACAGTGCCGTGGTACCAGCGGCCCGAGGGTCCAAGTCAAGGAACGGGGCCTCGCAGCCCCTCTTGATCCTCTCCGTCACCTACGTGCTAAGGTATCCGCATGGATGCGTTGATGTTGCGAGCTCTTGGCACAATATCGCAATTGTGCAAATTTGTCGTTGTGTGTTCGACAAGTGATGTGGAGGAGCCGTTTCTGCAGCTCTCGCTGGACCAATGAATGCGACATCGAAGCGCGACCTGCAACCGAGGACCTGATCAAGCCGTTAAAATGCTCGTTTTTTTTTTTTCATTGGAGCCCGTCATCATGGTTTGTAGTTGTTTCAGTTCAACTTGGAACCGAAAAACAATTTTGAAAATTCACCCCGAGGATCCATGTTCATGATATTTGGTACGTACGTCATTTCAGGATCATTTCGGACATTTGTGTAATTCAACGTCCAAAACCAGTTTTGCTTAGCAACGTGCCATTTGGTCCACATATCTATCTGGAGTAGACCCACCAAAAATCTCAAGAAGCCATATCTGAAAAGACACAGGAAGTGTGACATTTTGCCGTTTTTGGATCATTGGAGATATTTGTAAAATTCAGCCCCTGAAACCAGGTCTACTTAGCCACATGTACTGGGGTGCACATATCAATCTCAAGTAGACCCACCAAAAAGTCTATTTCAGATTGAAGTTGCCACTTGAGACTCAATTTGGGCATTTTCAAGCTCGTACTCAAGCTGTGTTAGCCCAAAAGCCAAGACTGATTGTGGATGGTTTTGGTTGCGGTCGGCAGGCAGGCAGTTATCTGGCCGCAGTGCGCGCGCGAGACTGTCGAAAGTGACCCATTTGACTTTTTTTTGACCCTCTCCTCGCTTCCTTTGGGGTTTCCTTCTGGGTCACCTGACACGCGGGCTGATACCGAAGGCGTCAGACGGTGGCCACACACACGCACACACGTTGGGAGTGTGTCAACGTGTGTCGATGGGGAGATGTGAGCAGACGCGAGGCCAAGCCGCAACTTCCTGCATAGTCGCTCAGTAGGAGAGTTCTCGTGGGAACCGTTTCAACTTTTTACCCCTCGGCCCTCCTGCGCACTAGCTCGCAGTTTCGATTCAACTGACTTTAGCACTATGACCAGAGAATGCGTTCTCGGGCCCAGGGTCTATGGGTGACTAACACGCCTTATACGTGTTTTGAGAAAACCCAGCCCGGAATCGAACCCCACATCTCTGAACTGCCAGAAAAATATGCTGACCGCTGATCCACCGCGCTGCGATTATTCAAAGGCATTCAAATGAATCTGACTACAATGTAATATTTTGTCTTGGCCTTTTGTTGCTGCATCGAGTAGATGTGACGTGTGACTTGTACTGAGGGCTTCACGCCGATGCAGTCATGTCATGTGAAAGACACTGGCGCCCTCTAGTGTTTGTTTGCTGTCAGTAAAAAGAAATTGCAAAGCAGTGCTTCCCACTGTATTGAGTGAAGGCATTCATTTGACATGAGAAAAATCTCAAGACACACCGCCGAACAACAATGTGGAGTAGAAAGATGAAAAAATATACATTTTTGTTCACACACACAAAAAAAGTCAAAGCAATTGAGAATTGAAAATTGACTAAAGAACACCCTCGTTTTTGCACATTTATTAACATGATCCTATAAGTTCCAACA